TCTGGCGCTAACAGTTCACGAGCGTGCTCCACTAGCACCCGGATATAAGCGCTGTTATTAAAAGAGGTTGAGGGAGAGTCCTCTCCTGTCAGACTGAGAGGCTGATAGCTACAGCTCAGTGAGGTAAAGGACTCTCTGAGGGTTTAGATCAGAGTCCTGCATCGGGTCGGGTACCCGTAAAAAAGGTGATTTGCCGTATTTTTTCAAAAGCTTTTTTCCGGGTTCGGTTCTGGGTAAAACAAAGATGATGCGGGTCGGGTCGCGGGTGTTGCATAATAAATATATTTAAATATTAATAATTTAGTTTAATGTTTAAATCCTGTCCTCTCCCCCGCGGGACCGCGCATAATCATAACCTCTGCACCGCATCTATCTGCTGCTGAGCGCGCCACATTCAAAATGGCTGAGGTGAAGCTCTCTAGCGGAGAATACAGCATTTTCAATAACACTTCCTCAAGAGCGAAATCCAACGTCTGGGAGGCTTTTGGTGTCCTCCTAGATGCAGAAAATAACCAACATCCCACGCTTTTTGAGAGAAATATGCAACTGCGTGTTAATAATTGCATGTTTTCACTGCTCATAGGATATGCGGGTTCGGGTCGGGTATCTTGTGCCGTCGGGTCGGGTTGCGGAACTAATTGGCAATATGTGCGGGTAGCGGAGCGGGTTCGGTATTGCACGTCACGGGTGCGGGCCTTGAAAATCAGACCCGTGCAGGACTCTGGTTTAGATAGTTCACTTTAGTCTAAGTAGTGGGTCTCAAACGGTTTGGTAATCATTTATGTAAATAAGTATTTCCAAGGCACACTTTTATATGATCATTATAGTTATAAAAAACAAGAGACTAACAGGTATGAAATAATTCCAACTCATACTATAGGACAGTAACACAAGAATACAGTTTAAAAGGGGAGGGATTTTTAAAATATGCATAAAGAAAAAGTAAATCTGTTTACAGTTCTGTTTCATATGGGTGTTGAGATGTATCCAAAGATTTAGTCCCTAATTTTTCTCTCAAAGTGCAGCAGATTGATGCATTTAACTTCCATATTTAAACAATCATCTTCCCGGGGGAGCATGCCCCTGGACCCCCCTAGAGGAAGTGAGGTCCACCACCTGCCCACACACCCTGTCAAATTGTCCCACCCACATTGAGGATGCTTCCTACGCCCATGATGAGATCAGAAAGCTTGTGTAGTTGCAATGTTGCATTAAAACGATTATTGAAATGGAAAAATGTATCTGTTGTTATGAGAACAAATAAAAAGCCAATTAGTGTCTCCCATGGTTGTGTTCATTCCTGGGAAAATCCCTCTTCACTTTCCCACTGATAGGCACATATTAATATTTAATGAATTCTTAACTACATCACTACACTGGGATATAATGAGCTATTATTCAGCTCTCCGGCTTATTGCTATACAACAAGGTAAACTCTCTGTTTTTGAGTGTCAGGAAGTAATTATAGGGAGGATTGTTTTGAAGTACAAACACAATTACTTGTATACTCACAAAACACTGACCTGGAATCCAATATTGTATTATTAATTGGAGCACAGTCAGATTCTCTTTTTATGAGCAAACACAAATCAAAGTGATGGGGGAATACTCTGTCATAACCAAACTGCAGCTTACTTCTTCACTGAAACGCCAGTGATCAGTAACACAGCAGTGGTGGCTGTGATCAGGGGCAGGCATTACGTTGATAAGACTTATTTTAACAGACCCTTCATAATAAACAAATCTCAACTTCCAATATTTCAGGGATTTCTATATATTGGCCGTTGTTGCTTAGCCGATATATCGGTTTATGTCATGTACCTATCAACTAAAAAGGAACAGGAATTCAATTTCAATTTTTTAAGTTTGAATGTAAGAAAATGTTTGCTGCTATCCTATTTTGACAGCTACAGTAAATATGACATTTATTGTTACTGTCAAATATTTAACAAAATGATTGAGTGATAACATTTGATGTATTATCACCAAAATGTTTTATTCATATGAAATATTTGCCCATATATCATCCAATTTCAGTCTGGTAACAGACAGAGACAGCTGTGCAGATGGAATAGATTAGCATAACAACCTCCTTTTACTAAATATAGCACAACATCCTCAAAAGTGGTGCTCATGCTGTATTTTTCCCTTGTGTATTTGCTCCAATATATTATATATCTAAAATCAAATCATAAAGATTAGTTTCCAACCTAAGGCTTTTGTCCCTGTGTGGTCAGAGTAACAAACAAACCCTTTCATTGGATCATAAAAATTGAATCTGAGCTTACCTCCTCCCATTGGTGGATGTAGCGGATGAGCCTGGACAGCCTCAGCAGCCGCAACAGACTGAGGATTTTGGTGAAGCGGACAATGCGCAGCGCCCGGGCCGTCTTGTACACCTCCGAGTCCATCCCTCTCTCCACGATGAGGAAGATATAATCCACAGGTATGGACGAGACAAAGTCCACCACAAACCAGCTCTTCAGATACTTCTTCTTGATCTTGTTGGGGTCGAGGATGATCTCGGTGTTGTCCTCGAACACGATGCCGGTCCTGAAATTCAGCACCAGGTCGACGAGGAAGAAGGTGTCAGAAACCACGTTGAAGATGATCCAGGGAGCCGTGGTCTCGTCTTTGAAGAAGGTGATGCCCACGGGGATGATGATCAGGTTTCCCACCATGAACAACAGCATGGTGAAGTCCCAGTAGAACCTGTTAGGGTAGAGCAGTGGGGAGAAGATTATATTTAGGGGGGGGGGGAAAGTGACAAATGGCTGATCTTGTATTGAAATGCCTGTTTTTTAAGTGCACTGTATTCTCCTAATGAGGTAACCTATGCCATCTGACTCAAGACAAGGTCACGCCAAGGACAAGCAGAGGGACAGGAATAGAACAGGGAAGATAAGCTGGGTGCACTTCATCTCAACACAAAGAACAAAAGACACAGACACCCATATCAGTAAAGCTCCTGATGGAGGATGCGTCAGCAGTTATTCCAGCACTAATGTTCCATTTCTGATTTATAGTTGTTTGCATTTAGTCCAAGACAACCCCTCTGAAATGCTTAGTCATACTAAATCAATCGACCTGTAGTTAAGAGCTACATTATAAGAGTGATGCCTTTCTTTTAAGAGCTGAGACAGTACATCAACAGAGAACCAACCAACAACTATTTTGACAATCGGCCTATCCTTTCTTCTAAATGTAAAAAACTAGTTCCTGTAATCTCAATGTGAGCTTTGCTGCATGTTTGTGTTATTATGTGATCTTAAAATGAATATCTTTGAAATGCTGGCTTAGACAAATAGGAAGACGTCAAATTGAGCCTCAAGAAACAGATTTTTTGTAACACAGCAAACATTAAATCAAGCACATAAATAGCAGATTAATAGTTAAAAAAAAGTAGCTGCGGATGTTAGTGCCTACAAAGAAGAGAGAGGGAGCTGACTGGATAGTGCTGCTGAGTCATGAATGTTGACATAAGTCCCCCAAAAAACACTAACCAAAATTATATAATAAAATATTTTAATATAAATCTGAGCACAGCCTGTTAAGAGCTCAAATAGTTGGCTTTATCTTCTGACTGCTACTTTGTCATACTTATTATAAGGGATATTTGGAGGAGCTCTCCTTGGTGCTAAAATAAAATGTTAAGAAGCATTCAGACTCAAGGATGTAACTTCTCAGACTTCACATCAAGTTCATCTTTAATAGGAAACTCATTAAACAAAGCCTTTTAGAGGAAATGTGCTCGTTATAATTGTGCGACATATTTTAGTTGCCATAATATTTTTTTTTCACAGTGTTTTTCATGGATCAGATTATACCCCAATGCAAGTTTCAGGTTTTCAAAGATATTCTAAAATGAAGGGATAAATATGGATTTTAATCTATTTTATAATATGTTCTCTCTTATTTTACATAAAGTTAGAGAAGACAACGGGACAGTTGGCTAATGTCAAACAGGGATCTGTATCTTCTACTGTTTGAACACCATTAAATATAAGATTAGTGTTTAAGAATCTAACTCAATTCGACCCATACCTGAAGTCGCTGTATGGATGGATAATCCAATTACCCGCTGACTTTACGCGCTCTTGCTCCTTCTCCACTGCCTTCTGGCTGCCAAACATGCGCAGGGAGAATTTGTTAACTCCAGGCTGAAGCATGGAGCTAAACTGCCGCTGCATGTAAGTCTGATTCCCCCTGAGGTCTTCATCATCCGGAACTATCTGAGAGCCATCCTCAGCTTTGGAAAATGTGAATGAATTTCTCGACTGCTGACTCGGAGTCTGTCCTTTACTAGTTGCGGCGTTGGAGAAGGAAACTCTGGAGTCCTTCTTCTCCATCGCTGCTCCGGTCTTGACCTCGGCGACTGGACCCTGTGTCAGGGACCCCACTGAAGTGATGGAGCCGTCCATACTTGCAAACTGTCCCTTCCCGTCTTCAGCTGACACTAGTCCATCTGTTTTCCTCTCCTGCCTGGAGATGAGAGAGGAGAGGCTCCCTGAACTGGCCGGGTCCCTTCTACAGTCTCCGTTTTTGTTGCATATCATAACGAAGGCTCCTTCTCCTGTCACGCCTGCCTCTAGGAGCGCGCTCCCTGCATCAGCATGCCTCCGGCACAGCAGAGCAGAGGTGGTGCTGCCACTGGCACCGACAGGTCCGCAGTCCTCGTCCTCTTGCAGGAGCCACTGCTCATTGTTGTTGGAGTTTTTACGCGTAATGGACGCGGCTCCGCCTCCTGGCGTAAATTTCTTCATCTTGGTTCCTCCACAGCTCCCACGGTCCAAACTGTATACCTGAGGCGGTCTGGGCTGCTGGAATTTGGGCTCCTCCTCGCCGTCCTCCGCCTCGTCCATCACAGGCGGAACCAAGAGAAGAGGGACAGACGGAGACACTCCCCGTACCTTGAACCTGGCAGACTGGGCGGCGGCGGAGAGGGAGAGAGTGAGGAGTTCAACAGCAGCCTGTGCTCTCCACACACACCAATTTAGGATAACAGAGCACCGGTGGCGTTGCTATGGCTGCAACTTGGCTGCTGTTAGAAAAATAGTGTGTGTGTAAGAGAGAGAGCAAGAGACCACACCTTTAGGTCGTAAATACCTGGTGATATTGAAGAAACTATGTGGACAAAATAACCTGCCAGTGTAATTAAGAAAGCTCCCATCTAATTAATAATCACAAATCTATGAATAAATATATGCTCATTGCTCACCTGATCTGAGCAAGGATAGGCAGGACAGAGGTGACAGAAGGTCATCAGAAACTATCAAGGTCTCCATCTGTTGTCATGCACAGCTGATCCCAGGTAGACCATCTGCCAACCATTTCTAATCCCTGGTCAGGTGATCCATAATAATTGCAGATGTAGGCTTTCCTCTCAGAGAGGCTGTATTTACAGCAGCCGGTTGCTTTGTGTTAACAGTCAGGGGCAGGTCAGGGGTCAAGGGTTCAAGATTATTGGTCAAATGGCTCCACCTTGTGGAGAAATATACACGTTGCACACTATCAAGCTTACTAAAATGCCAGTCCTCCGAACAACAAATAATACGTTCGTAATGACATTAGCCAAGATAATTCTGATTCTTAAAGATAACTATCATTCATACAAGGTAATTTCAATTTAAGAGCACGGTTGAGCTCATTTCAATCTTTATTTTTTTTAAATATTTGTGCCCATGAAGAACCCAAAACATTGTTGGAGTGGGGTTACAAATGATGTGCTCTCCATGTTTAATAATACAACACTCAATGTTTCTTTGGGGGAAATATGTGTGCATTTGTTGAGGCACAAAACAGTCTAGAGCTTTTCTCCTTCTCAGATCATAGACAGGCTAAAAGGCATAAAGCATTTGGATGTCAGGCCTGATGACATGCTTTACATTTCTTCTCAAAAACACATTTTCATAGCAGTAACTGTTTGTGTAATAGGTCATTCTTAAGACAAAGATAAATCCTACTAACACATAATGATAAGGCTCTCCTTAAACACAGTGCTTCTTGACCTTAGTCACCATTTGATCTGAGCAAAATGTAAGAAAGTCAACAAACAAGCATGTCAAATGGAATGCCTTTATTCAGTTTCTGTGAGTTGTACATTAGATGGTGTTCAATTTACAACAATTCTGGCTAGATCTTTATATCTGTGTAACTCTGAAATGGCAATATCCAATCACAACACTAATCCGGTTAAATGGAACATATGGCTTCTGCATAATCTACACAGTGAAGGTAACAGAGACAACGGTCCAACAATCGCACACAATTGTCTCATCTCGGATCTGATCGAGTGAGAAATAAAAACATCCAATTAAGTGTTTATCTTCTGTACTTAAATTAAACATGTGTTGTATTCAAGTTGCATTCAACATAAGCAAGTTTTACATCTCTTGCACTTAGTCCTTAAGAATATATGTTTTACTCTGGATGTGAGATTAGCAACAAAAACACAAGTGACAAACTAAAAATGTAAAAAATATGTTAACAGAAAAATAAAAGCTTGATTTTAAAAAGGACAAATGATTTCCCACTTAAAGAACTGTAATTTCTTATGGCAACAAAACTTTAAAGACATTAAATCAAAGGATGTCTGATTTCCATTGGAAGTGTCACATTTGCACACAAAAGCTAAATAGTGGTTGTAAAGGCAAAGTATGAAACTCTGCTTAGGATTATTTAAAAACACACTCTTGTTGTTTTGATATTAAATGGCAGTGATTAGGATCAAAAAAGTTTTCCTCATAACAGGACTTGTGCTGTTTTACAAAGAAGCCTTCCAGATTGGAGAATATAAAAAGCACAGACTGTGAGACCTGTGAGGCCAACTGTGAGGCCAGCGAAGGGAGCGTCAGCATTAACAGAAAAATGACCACAAAGAGGCATTCTTCACATGAACCGTCTAATGATTTTACAACAAACAAACAAACACTTTGCTATACCGGTAATTTACACTCATGCAATATTTGCCCAGCGGCCTCAAGCAGAAAACACTTCACACTATGTTCTGTGGCTGCACAATGTGGAGAAGAATACAGAAGAAAACTAAAAAGGAAATCAGTCAGTTTCTTAAAACATTAACACCCAAGCACAAAAAGGTTCTTCAAAATGCAGGGTGCACGGTATAATGTGCCACAACAGCCGAGTCCTGGACCGCCGTCTGGATGTCCATCTAGGATAGAGAAAAGTTGCACGATGAAGAATTCAAAAAGGTGTCCATTTTGTTTTTAACATACAGAGTGGGGAAGAAATACATGCTTTTTCTAAATTATAGTTTAAATTAAGTAATAACTTTTACGCACCTCTTTCAGCTTCTAATTAGAATTCCTTTGTCTCACATTCGTGTCTTTGTGATTTTCAGTAGAGTTGCTTTTCCTGAAAAAAAAAACAAAAAACACAAAGGCAAGCATGAGTTATCGATAAAAAGACAAAATCTTGAGAGAAAATGAAGTCGGTGAGTTACTAACTGTACTTACAGAGGAGCAGATCCTGAGTCCTCATCTGCACAGCAGTAACCGGTCAAGGAAGAAAACAAAAACAAGTCAGTTATCAATAACTGTTTCATGTGTTACTGTTGTGAGCAAGACATGCCTCTCCCACAGATGATAGTAGCAAATGTTAAAGGTCCCATGTCATGCTTTTCCGGTTATTACCCGTCCCCTCGTGTGTTATGAAGGTTTTTCTGCATGTGAACGGTCTGCAGAGTCAAAACCCTCAAAGTACACCCTGTAGCGAGTAAAACTCTAACACAGAACATACCTCCCCAAAACGCCTCGTTGGAGATACGTCACTGTCCATTGATTCTTCCGGGTAACTCATGATGTCATGCGTTACCCTGAACCAAATGGACCAATCCGTGGAGCCGTTACGTTACGTCACGTCCGCGGAGCCGTTACGTTAAGCCCCCGCTGATTGGTCCAAATTGACCAATCCACGGACTTCCTCACACACACACTCAGTGCAGGCAGCTCTGCTGATTTCTCCTCCCTGGCTGCAGGCTGATAACAGACAGTTGGCATCGCGGCGAAATTCTCTCTGCAGACCCATTCTCACAGCGTTTATCAACCTTCTTTCTTACTTAATATCAAGCCACACTTATTGTTTTTACTTCGGCTGTGACTTTGTGTGTGCTCAGGGTGAGTTTGGCTGTGTATCGCTAAACAAGGAAACCACACCTCCACGGAGCTCAGCGCGATTCACAACGTCCCGACCAATCAGAGCACACTGTGCTCACAGGGAGGGGGGGGGCTGGAGCTATTGGAGCTACAACGAGCCGTTAAAGGCAGAGAGTGAAATTCAGTGAATACACGTAGTTTATAGAGATGCTGTATGAGAAACCAATGTGAGTTTGGAAAATTGCACAATATAAATCTATTCTAGTAGACCTCAACAATGGAATTATGATCAGTGGAAATGGCCATGACATGGGACCTTTAAAACTGCATTCCCTGGTTGTGTTAATACAAAGAACACATTACTAAATGTCACCCAACGGACTGGCGTATGTCTCTTTATTGGCTCTATAATATTTAAACTCCCATGAATCTAAATGTGTGTACATGGTGCAGTCGTTCCCTAGCATCAGAGGCTCATGCAATACAAGCAAAACACACAAGAGGAACACGGCATTGGCTGTATTCATATGACAGAGCTAACACACAACCTGGCGTGTACCAGAGCAAGAGAACATATTGACAAAAGAAACCCTATATCTGTGGCCAATGAGAATGAGACGTATGTAAATGAAGTACCGAGCCTATTTCATGCATAAAGTACAAGATGCGGAGGGCATGCAGACAGAATGCTTGAACCTCTACATTCTCAACGTGTTCATGTCAAACCATTACACTAGATTATGTGTCTCATTTGACTCTTTCATTGGCTCAAACACATGGTTTTTAAAAAAGGGTCAATAGAGAGTGGAAGGAACATGTTTGAAGCTCGCTCTGATTGCAGGGCCAGTGAAAGAGTGACCAAATCTTTGAGCACATTCCTCTTAGAAGTGGTGACTATGAAAGCAGATCATTCAGACTCCCATAGCTTTTTGTTTCCACGCGGTCACCTCAGCTCAACCACTTCAGTCTGACATGCAGTTTTGTCCACTTACCAAAATGCAAAATCAGCAGCGAACAGAGAAGTAAAAATGTAAATAATAAAAAATAATAGTTTCTATCACAGATCGTTTACACAAAAAGGGGGAATCTAACATCTGGTCATAATTTAAAAAAAAAATACAAATAACAGACAAACCATAGAAAATAAGGGTTCATAATAAATGCATGCAACTACAGCATTTATATCTCTGACTTTGGAAAAACGCTTTGTCCTAACGGTCTCTGAATTCCACTGGGGGGCACTCAATCTTTCCTACTCATAGTCAAATAAACAATGCCTACAGTTTGATGCCCTTTTCTCCTGTTGAAAGTTGAATGACTTTTAAGAGGCTACTATAAATTCCTTTAGTCTACGCATCAAGAGAAGTTGAGCACAAGTAGGAAATTACCGTCTGCTGGTGGTTATTTTTAACACAGCCAATTTGAATCTTTTCCTGATATATGGGCATTTTCTACTACCAAAAACAAAAAGCTCAGTGACTAAAGGGGAAAGCAGTGATGGAGTTGTGTAGGCTTCAGACGTCAGTTAGAAGATTAAAGAGGACCTAGGATTAAAGAAGCATCGAGGGCAATTTTCTTAGCCGATTTGTCTGACTTCATTATGACAGCATGTAGACACAATGTCTCATAAAAGTGAATAAGAAGGCTAATGTCTGTCTCAACAATGTTTACGATTTCATGTAGTATATAGTGGTGTGGGCAGCTTGGCGTACGTACCGTCAGTGACGTCATCGGGCTTTCTCCTCTTCTCGTAGATGAAGATGATGGTCACCAGGATGATGACCTCGGCCACGATGCCGAGGAAGGGCCACAGAGCGGCCAGGCGACTGCGCACACGCAGGTGGATCTTATCAGAGTTGGTGCCCAGTTCATTGGTTCCAGAGCAGCTGTAGTCCCCAATGTCGTTCTCGATGCTCAGGTCATTGATGGTCAGGGTGGTCTTGTTGGGGGTGCTCTTGATCTCATATTTGTCGGTAGTGCCGTTGATGATAGGCTGAGGGGTATTTTTAATTAATAAGTTAGTAATGCAAAATGCAAGAAAGGTATTTGACATGATTTTCCTTTTATTTTACAATAGAAGTACTGGAAATAAAAAAAAGATGTAATCACAATATTTAAGTTGACTGATGTTATTTGCATGTATCAGTAAAGGGGATAATTAACAAGAATCATTTAAAGATAATCCAAGCTTAAGAAACAAATACCGTTGGGGGGCTGCCCTCTTCTCCTTTGAACCAGGTCCAGTCAGTGGGCAGTGGGTAGCCGTGGCTCACACACACCATCACGCCTATGTCATTCTCATTGCCGTGCTCGGAGTGCTTGGTGGCAGCAACATGGGGAAGGACTACGGCAAGAAGAGAAACACATCATCAAACTAGAATGGCAACCTGAGAGCGCAGTAGTCTGCCAATGTCAATTGACATGCAACTCCCACATGTAAAAATAGAGTTGAATGGACATTAAAACGATCGATGAATGCAACTTTGATCTGTGATATTAATGAACTCACTTTTGACTTCAATAATCTGCTTCACCTCCGGTTCGGTCAGGAACACACATTCATACTTCCCAGCAGATTTGTGGGAGATGTTGTACAAACTATTGAAAGAAAAAAAGAAAGAGGGATTCCATTACTCTTTGCAAACCGGTGGTGACTTTTAAAAGGTTCTCTGAAAACACTTTCATGTGGCAGCGATCAGTTATCCAATCAGTGAGAGTAAACATTCTCAACAGAAGCCCGTTAATGCTCAGTGGCCAGGGGTTACAAATAAAGCTGCTTGTTCATGCAACAAATATTTCAAATTTCCCCTGGTAATCACAATCCCGCTTTGTTCGGTGCTGCTGTCCCGTAGAGTTCTGCCCGCTCTCTCTAACGGGGAATTAAGGTCATGGCAAGTGAGCACACTGCTAGGGGCGCTTATCCGCGCTGCCAAGACTACAGGCAAAGCTGCACGACTGCACGGTCCATCTCTCTGATAATCAAGAGCACTGAATGGCGCCTCTAGCTTTGCTGCTAATGGAGGCAGCCAGGGAGGAAAAGAGAGTAGTGTGAGAGGGGGGGTGGGGGGACAACAGGCACACAAACGTGCAAGTGAGAGAGAGAACAGAGGATGAAGATGGATACTGACTGTAGTGTGAGAGCTAGAAAGGGACAGCATTAGAATCAGAGCAAAAAGACTGGAGCAAGACACACAAAGCAGTTTGTTCGTAATGTTCAAATGTAACCAGTCACCTTTGGCTGGTGAGTGATGCAAAACATTGTTCTTCAATACAAGCTAGTGGAAAACGGCATGCTAATGACCAGTTTCAAGACAAAGGACATAACCAGAGGATGAGCTCCTTTATTGTGCCATAGTAACTGCAGGGCAGATATGCCCATATGGCACACTATGGGGGGGGGGAATATAGCTACTTACCTGAGGGTTGTGTATGCCGTGGCTTCCTCGGATTTGGAACCCTCAATGAATTTGCCATTGTAGACCCAGTGGGAGCCCTTGATGTGGAGGGTGGTCTCCGTCAGGTTGCAGCTGAGGACTGCAGAGGTCTGGTTGTTGACCTCAGAGGGTTCGGTAATGATGTTTGGAGCTTAAGATGAAGAGAGAGAACAAATAATATATTAACACCCTTTTCTAAAATGGTTGAATTCCAGCTTATGACAAGTTTAGACATCAATGCCGCCCTAAAAAAGGTAAAACTAGTGTGATTTTCATGAGGTAACTAAAAAAACTATCAAAAAAACGAGCAAAATGTAGTATCTGCACTTTGGTGTGCAGTTATTGTCCTTCAGGGCAGAATGGCTGTCTTAATGCCTTTGTACTTCATCCCTGAACGTATTGCAAATGTCTCATTATCAATAAGTGCGATCACTTGTAATATATAGTTCATTTATGTTTGCTTTTGACACTCAACAGTTCTCCTTACAGAAAATAGAGATGTTTTTAGCTCAAATGTAACAGGGCCTATCATGTACATGACAGCCTTATGCCTACATGAATTTGTGGGCAAAGAAATAAAAACATCTTGCTCATGCCAGGGTGTGAATAGATTAGAGTTTTAGTCGAGGTGACTGTTGAGTGTTAAGAAAAGAATTACCAAGGCATCACATTGACTTTCAACTTACCAAATTTGAAAAGCAAAACAAATCTCTTCTCACAAATGAAACCAAGATATCAATGTGACAAAAATCCATGCTCTACACAAATTCACAGAACTTCCAAGAAAGTAGGAAAGAGCTCCCCTAATTGGGGTGGTCTGTCCCACCAACAGTAGAACAGAATAGGGAGTTGTACTGGACATCTAGCAGATACAGAAGTCTACAAGGTCATGGGGAAAATATATTTAAATAAATACGCAGAAGATGCAACAAATGTGGTTTGAAATATAATATATATTTTGCTTAAACAGCTTGAATAACTTGACCAATCTTTCAAAGTGAGAAACATAATACTGGAGCACAAGGCAGAAAGACAGCCCATGACTGAGATTTGTAATAATGAGTTGCCATCTTCTGTGCATCGATGTAGTATGCTATAAGCCACAGGGATGGTCTAAAAGCAGAAATAAAGGGGGCACTGCCAATGTTAGTACCTATTAAGGAAAAGTATAGCTTTAATTAATGTCTACGAAGAAGAAATGCTAATCAAGAAATCTGACACCCCTTTTTTGTTTGTCTTTAAAAGATTAAATCATCATCTTTGTTGCTCACATGGAATAACATTCCTGCAGGAGCCACTTGCACATGTTCAACCTTATGACCAGTATTATATTTTAAAACTGTATCATTGTGGTGCCTATTGCTTGAAACAAGGGGGGAAAAAAGGCATCAGATTAAAGACACAGTTTTGTGTCAGGTAACACAGGATTAGGAAAAAGCCCAGCCAAACTCTATGACCAGGCTCGGACACAACTACAGGACATCCTTGGAGCTTTTGAGGAGAGTAGAGGGAGAGAGTATTCCGGGTTGGAGAGGGTATTGAACCGGAAGGCTTGGGAGTGGAACTGGGAGGCTTGGGAGTGGAACTGGGAGGCTTGGGAGTGGAACTGTGGAACTAGGAGGCTTGGGAGTGGAACTAGGAGGCTTGGGAGTGGAACAGGAGCTGAATGTCCAGGACTTCAGTAATGAGGAGAGAACAGCCAAGCTACTTTGACCGCAGTCTCCTCATGCTTCCTCTGCCACTCACGTTCAATCACAATAATGTTTGCCTGCGAGCGGATCCACTTGATTTTTGGCGTCTTCTTCAGATCGTTACGGTCAGGATCGTTGGAAGCTCGGCACTCGTACATGCCCGAGTCGTTGAGGTTGAGGCTAGAGATGTGAAGGGTGCTAGTGGCGTGTGCTATATATGTGGCATTAATCAGCACACGCTCATCATGTGCCCCGTCAAAGAGCTGGGTGAAGCTCTCGTTGGGCTCTTCACCCTGTATAAACCACCACTGCACTTCAGGGATGGGGTTCCCAACCACTTCACAGTGCAGCTCTGCGCTGTCACTCATCAGTTTCATCCGAGACATGGGGGATTTGATAAATCCCGCTGAGCAACGTGTACAGCCAGTCCAGCAAACAGAGATTTTAAGTATTGTTTAAAGGCGATGGGTTTAAAGCAAGCCATGTGATTTAATGGATTGGTGATAAAAGGCCGTGATAGAAAAAAGACAAGCATAAAGGAAAAAGAAAGAAAAAGAGACAAAGTTAATAGAACACAAATGATATGAATATTATGAAATGAAGAAAATAGAACAAAGATCAGAGCATCATTTTCCACAAGTTATTTTGGTAAATAAAATATTAGTTTCTGGCACTCTGACAAATAACAAATGCAACCTAAAGAGGTAATTACAGATGAGCCAAGCTGATGTTTTTTATATTTAAAAACTTTACAGCAAGTAGGGATTTTAAATTTCAGTGTGATAGCCGTTTACAAAGGCTTTAAAAGTACTTGAATTAGCAATTATTGAAAAATAAATGTTGTCAATCTTGGAATAAGCTTGATCAAGGCATCCCCAAAAGAGTTAAAGCATACAAAGACAAAGACATTAAAAGCATGCAACAGCATTCCCATGAAATCAAAGCAATGTGGAATGAATGAAATATAAAGAAAAAGGCAGCTGAGCTTCAAATGAAAAACATATCACATGTTAACAAAAATCCATGAAAGCCTTGGACAGGCAAACAGTTCAGGCTGTTGCCTCGTGACATCCAACAGTGGTAAGGGTGTTACACTGTGCTAACACCTATTTTTCCAATCCCCACTGAGAGGCGCCAACATTCAGCATTTGCCATTGGTGTATTTACAAGGGAAAACATTTAAAGCACTTCGGTTGTACTTGACTGAGCTGTGTGAAGGAATTATTTTTCCTTTGACTTTATGCTCACGAATTGTAGTCTCATAACATACAAAATCCCTTTCTGATGGATTTACTTTAAACTTAAACATTTGTTTTCTTCCAAGAATTGAAGATCTGTATTTTCATAATAGGCAGGGAGGACTTGTTTGTCCACTCAGTGGTGGCCAGGGGGGAGGGGGTCAAAAAGAAAATACCATTATCACGCTACAGGCCAATGCACGGACAGCTTTTCAACTCCTCTCATAAAAACCTTAACTAATAGAGCAGAAGAAAACCAAGAATAGAAACGCCACAAATGAACATAGAGTCAATCAGACAAAACAAAAGACCACTTTTAGATAACTTTCACCGAGACCCTCGTTCTCTTCTCAAATATCATGTAACCTATGAAGGAAGCTTGGTGGCTTCCATCAGCACTACATAAAAGGTCAACTTCGTAGCACATGATGATTAACTTTAGCCCTCTGCTCTTTAGCCCTGGAGCCCTTTCAGAAAAAGTGCCATAGCTAATATTCTACCTTTGTGTATGATTAACATTAAGTGAATTTCCTGAACAATGTACAAGGAGCATGACAACCTTAAAGCATACTGTACATGGAAAAACATAATAACAAATGTCATGCAGAGATAGCAAATAAACCATAACCATGAGGATATGTGCTCATAACTTAGAGTGAGAAAGAGTTGGTTGGAAAATCAACAACTCAAGCAGGAATTTACTGATCCTATTAAAAAGTCAAAGGGTGCACACAAAGCTTAAAACATGTGATCCTCATGCCACTCTCAACAGTTGGGTGACAAAGTGTATTGACAGGTTTAAGGTGAACAGGAAAAGCTAGTCTGTGATTTCCATTAGTGACCCAGACAGCAGCAACCCTCCATCGTTTGATTTATCCCACTACAGTTTCATAATAAATTCGAAATAGTTTTACACTTCTCAATGGGAACCACCAAAGAGCAAATGTAGCCGTTAAAGAGCACCCTATTTATGTATTTAATTTAACTTTAAAATGCATGACTCCACCCAACCTAAAATCTAACAAAAGAATGTGTGAAACACTCCTCGTACAATGCAAGAACCGTTCCAGAAAGAAAATGGATGCCAGTGGTGCAACATGCAAAAACCAATGACACTCGTAGAAAACAGGCACACTGTTAATATATGTGTTCATTTCAGCCTTTCAAATACTATAGACATAAAATCCTTTGAATATGACCAGATTTTTCAAGCTTTCAGTTTCCAGTGTAGAGTGATCTAGTAGCCAACCTTTTAGTCACTCAGTTGTGGTGGAATAAAGATTTATCAACACTATAAGTAGTATGTCAACTCCCACAACCAAAATACAACAACCTGTCACTGTCGGTGCTACTGTGCCGACTGCAATGGAATCATTTGAATGAAGCAGGTTGAGCAGCCGGGATTTTAAAATGGTGGTCTGTATTTCCTACCGTTTAGCAAATGATTATGACCAAACATCCAATACTTTAAATATGTGACAAAAAACAAGCTTTTCCTATCTTTCTCATTCAATGTAGTTTGAACTACCTGCCTGCCTTGTAACCCATTGTTCATGAAAGGTAAACATTAGCAAAAACCGGGAACAATGAATGGCATGAGGGCTTTGTGTTTTAATTCACGTACACATTAATTAAACGTCTGGTTGCTGGGACCAACTCCGTGCAAAACAAGGTTACATGGTCTTACCCTTGTTTTAGGAAACCATACCAAATAAAAGGGGACATTTGGCTAAGAAAATAGTTTCATAACAGCATCATATTGAGTCAGTGTATGTACTTGCCCATCTCACCTAACAGCCTTTAAATGACAAAACAGAGGAAAATGACTCAGTTTGAGTATTAGGAAGTGTGCTCTTTCACAAAGCATGAGCCCATTTCAACAGTATTCCATTTTAAATTACGTAAAAAAAGGCATATATTTCATGAAAACAGACATCAAAATCCTAAGCACTACAACAACTGAATAACTCCCATTCGTATAAATGGTGTCCTATGTGCTCACTATTATATTTAAAGGCTTACAAGCTCATTAAGGGATGACCGTTCATAGAGATGTGGCATTAGGGTAACAATTTGAAGGTGGCTTTATTATAAAATGTAAAACACAACTGCTATATGCACAGCTAACGGCAGAAGTAAGCAGTAAGCATCCCCATAAATATGGCTCACACCCAATTCCAAGGAGCATTTAAGCCAAACCTGTCATTTGTCATAATAGCCAATACTGACACCCATGTCACGTGACGCAACCAAGAGGTAATTCATTGTGCTTTCTGTAACTAAGAAAATAGCTTTATTTTCACAGCAATGTTATTATGTGACACATGTCGTCATAGGAGTTGGGCAAAGAAGGTCAAGAGGCAGGTCATTCAAAGACCCTCAATGTAACATCTCTACCCTATGTCCAAACTGCAGCCCACCGTCCATTTTTTATTGGCCCGAAGCAAATTCTAAAAGTATAATGGAATATGGCCCACATATGAAAGTTGTGCTTGTCCTATATTGAACTTCTAAAATAAATATATAATGCTTGCTGTAACTAAGAAAATAGCTTCATATATGAATACAGACTTGCTCTTGCACAGTAATGTTATTCAAATGCAACCCATGCCATAAAAAGTGTGGGGCAAAGGAGGGCAAGTGGCAGGTCATTTTAAGACCCTCAATACAACATCTCTACCCTTTTAATGGAAAGCTGGGAGGGAGACTGTTTTTTTCTTTACGCATATTCAATTATCAAGAATAATATACCTACATGTGATTGATTTTGCTTACTTATAACTTAATTTATGGGGCAACATACATCATCTCTAGGTGAGTGGCCCTCAGGGAAAAATGTGTGGACACCCCTGCTATAGTAGTACAAATACTGCAACAGAAAATGACAGACAGCTGCAAATACTGTATTGTGACAGCTGATACGCATCATGTTGATTGGGCCTAATGTTACTGGCTCACAGAAAAGACAACCAATGGCCGGTCTATCAGAACAAACCACCAACTATGCCCAGGGGGGCTCTTCTAACGTCACAAAGCAAGGCTCCAGTTCCTTAAATGCTGTGAGGAAACCTATTCAAGATCTAAAATTACTATTGTACCCTCAGGGTGAACGTGAAAACAGCAGTTAACGATAATTACTGACGGTTACCATAACTTACCAACGTTACGCAACTGTCATTTATCTCAGTGGACAACAGCAAACATTACTGAACCACCATACGCTTTAAATTAACGTCTTGTGACCGTTTACACTGCTAACATTTTATCAATCTCACCTCGTTTCTTTAAAGCTGAGGCAGATAAAAAGACAAATCCAACGTTATGTAAATGGTGTTGTCACGAAACGGCCTGGTAAATCGTCCAAAAGGATTTTCCGACTAACGTTAAATGTGTCCATAGCGATAACACTAACCCAATGCAGCTAGCTCTAATACGTGACTGTTTCCTATTCACGCTGGTTACATTTCGTAATAGTTGTAGCTGCGAAAACATATTCGACAGAGAAAATACGTTTCATAACACTGGCTAATAAGAAGCAGAATTAACCATTGTTTAATGTTCTTAGCGTTAACCATTAAGGGCAAAGTCAACGATACATTTTCTCCCAACATGGCTGACAAACAATTCTTACCTGTGGACGCATTGGCTCGCCAACAGCTCAACAGCAGGGCACTGACAGCCCACAGTAAGTTCATGGTGGATGATTAAGTATTAACTAAGCCGTCGAATAAACACAATGTTTAATTCGATGGTCGGAATCTTCTTCCTCCTTTTCCTTCTGAACTTCCAGCGAGATGTGGACGCTGAAATGTTTCAGTTGATGTCGTCCTCTGGTTGCACCTCACGCATACGCCCTGATCAGCACGTAAACGTGACGTAATACTTTAGAGGCGTGGCCACGCTCTCGGTCGACACCATGAATGGATAATAAGACCTCTTAATGCTTTCTAAACCTATTTAACAGTGAGAAGTACTCAGATGTTTTACTTAAGGTAAAGTAGCAATAATACATTGTAAACATACCCTGTTTACGAAGTAAAAGTCCTGCATTCAAAATTGTACTAAGTAAAAGCACACATTTTCCAGTAACATATCGGACCATATCAGATTTTTTTAAAATACATTTTTGTTTAGGTTTTTTAAATGACTTGCTATAGGCTACTGTTGGATTAACCTATACTGATTTATTGTTTGATTTATATTCTCTATTGTGAATCCATACCGGCAAAGTAGCTAGTAACTATTTTTAAAAAAAGAAAAAGAATGTAGTGTAATAAGCCTCCAAAATGTAGTAGAGTGAAGTATAAAGTAGCATAATGCGAAAATAAGTGAAATACAAGTACCTGAAAATTGTACTTGCGTAGATGTACTTAGTTACATTCCACCCCTGATATTTCATGATCATATTTATGTTACTTAAAAAAAATAGGCTCAATCTAATGGTATTAAAGGAAAAGTGGTGAAAGTTCCATTTCCATGTGTTTCAGGGGAACAACATTTTAAAGGGATGTTAATGTCAAATATAATAAAGTCAAAACAGAATAATTATGTCGATGTTTAAGAGAGAAACACCATTTGTATCACATATTTACAGGACTAGCATGCACATCAGTCAACTTAATACAGTGTCTAAAGGAAATTCACCCATATGTTGGTGAATACCAAAAATTGGGTAATGAATTGTCTGCATTATTTAAAATCTGATTTATGAGGTTAGTACTGGGTAAGAAACAATTGATCAGAAGGCATGGACCAGGCTCAGCATTCATCCCTGACCATTTAAAAAATGTAGGCTGTAATCAGTGACCATATACGTAACATAATGACACATAACACAATTGAGATATTAGCAAAGAAATATCGAGATGATAGAAATATTTCTACGAAGTTAGTTGTGAAATGGAAACTTGTAGAGAAAGCAATGAAACACATGTAAGGCAAATTCCAGAAAACCCAATTGTTGAATTAAGACTACTACAACCCTGCCTATTAAAAATGCATTTTAAATGTTTTCACTTGTTTGAGTTATTTGTTTAGTCACAAAATCTGAATCATTTCTAGAAATGAGCTGCAACACTGAAAAAAGATACACATACACTTTTACCGAGCTAAAATAGTGGTTTTAGACATTGAATCTGTAGTCACTGAACATTAAAACACCATTTCATTTTTTAAGGTAAATAGTTACACAAGATGTTCTGTTCTTAACAATCCCCTCAGATGAAAGGCCTTTGAACCCTAACCCCCGGGGAGAAGAGGTACAATGCAGAGGAAATACACCCATATTGCTTAACAATAAAAGGAAGCAGAATATTTTTGGCTTGTTGATAACATTTCACGAGTTCAGAACTTTCTCTGAAAGTACAAAATGGTCACGAAACCTTATATAATAATGGTTGGTCCAAGAGCCGGCAAGATGTCCTTAAAGGGACATAAATGATACTGGGGAAAATCAGACTATAGCTTGCCTGTTTTCAAAAAGCTTTACCGTATTACATATTTTTGTTCAATTATTGTGATTTGCTGTACAAACAACTACATTTTGGAAAATGTTCTTGTTTCACCGTACTTCCATCTAGTGTCTAACCGCAGCACTCACACTAAAAGTGCAGCTAACAGACTTTGTCCCAGTGGTTGACCATGTATGTTGTCACTTTATGAAACAAGCTCGATTTTCATGATAAGACTTCAAATAGGATTATATACACACCCAAACGCAGACACAGAGAATGCTTTACATGAATTTTGAGTGGTAGCACCCAAACAGCTTTATTTTCATATCATTTTATTTTTTTGACACGACCATACTGCAAATCAATAGATTTCAACTGGCAACTTTAGAAAATATTTAATTTACCTTTTAAGTTAAAAATGCAAAAAAGCAATGAAATGTTTTCTAATTATTTTAGGTTTGCAGATAACACAACAAAATCCTTATATGTTTAATTTAGTAATGATTTTCCACACCATTATCCAAAATTTGACGCTTCATTTTCAGTGCAAACAACAGTACCTGTATGGTCTCAGGTCATCTGTAAGTGGATCTTGAAAATAAAATCATTTTAATAAACTATTTTGTTTTGAGATTAAAAACAAATCAAATGTAATATTCTAAACCACGAAGAACCTTAAATGCACACTAATCGTGCACTTAGGGTCATTTTATCAGAGATATGAATGCTACTTATAAAAAGGAATAACTGTACATTTGTTTTTGCTTCATTGGCAAAAGTGGGCCAATTTTAAATCATACAAGTCTGAGAGTAAAAAAAGAAAAGAAAATCAGAGACTGTCTCGTTGTCCCGAGTCTTCTACCTTTGGATCCCTTTGTTTTCTCTTCCTGTATGAGGGGATTCAGGCAGATCGAGCCCTTTTGAAGTTTCCATGCTTCTCCACATCCGCCCTGACAGAAGCTGCACTCCCTCGGCCTTTCCTTTGTTCAGATCCCTGATCAAGGTGGGAGCAGCAGGGCAGGTAGAACTGCATGGACCTCACGTATCACTTACCCCTGATCAGGCTCCAGTGCTCCTGGCCGCTGCTCAGGTCCCTACCCTACAGCGGGGGGGGGGTGGGGTGGGGTGGTGGGCGGGAGGGGGGGGACTGGAGGTTACAGCTCTGAAGTACAGCAGCCTAGGAGCTATAAACAGCTCGTAGGGTGATGAGGACAAGTGGTCCTCTATGAGTTATCAGTGGAGTTCTCATTGCTGGTCGAACTCGAGGACTGAGGTGTAGAGGAAGATGAAGAGGCGGAGGAGGAAGAGGAGGAGGGGGTAAAGTTCATCCCTGATAGTTCTGGAGGGTTTGTTGCCGTGTTCTGTCCACTCAAGCTTTTCCTGCACACTGGACAAGTGTCATGCTGGAGAGAAAGAGTGATCAAATAAAGCTCTGTAACGGATATTGATGATACTTCCACATCACACAGTTTGATATATCAGACATAAGAAAGCTGAGGTTCATTACCTGTTCCAGCCAGGGGACTATGCAGTCATTATGGAACATGTGATTGCATGGGAGCTGCCTCACAATTTCTCCAACACTGTAATCGTCTTTACACACTGAACATTCCAGTCCTGAAGCTGAAAACAAATGTGTAAATAACATTATTTTATATGATTTGTCAAGTAGTTTGGGACAAGGGGTTTAAAGAAAAACAAACGGCAACAGAAATGTTTAAAATAAGATGTGATAATGAAGGGTTGGTTTTGTTCAGAAAGAGGGTAGGATGCTGTGCTATCTAAAACAGGATGCGATGGGTGTGTTCAGAACCTAGGATAACTATAAAAACAGCACATATAGATGGACTTTAAACATGTTTGAATTTAAAAAAGATTCTGTCTACCAATAAGTCAGATTATACCTCCAATAAGACTTTTTTACAGAATCATCCCTTTGAGCTCACTTGTTGAAAAACTTGAATCAAACATTCTTAAATGTTTAAAGCTAAAGTGATTGAAGGTGGCTAGTTTGGCAAAGTGGTTAATGCATTGAAATACCACTGATGTATTTGGCGCACTCAACTTTCAATACAACATTAAATGATATCGCTGTACAAACAATGTTTCATCTTGTATATTTGAAGGAAAAAGAAAACCAGCCATAACACATTATATTACACTCTAAAAAATGGTTTAACTTACCAACGTGATCCTCTGTAATATGAACTATAGGAAGGGTTTTTATTTTATCCCTGTCAGCAGGCGGAGGACCCGTGTTCTCAAACTGGTTTAATAACTAAAGACGAGAAAAAAAGATGGACAATTATTTAAATGTAGTTTGTATGCATAATACTGCAGATTTCCATACAGCATATGCAAAATGTTCAAACAAATCCCTACTGGAAGTAATCACACATGAAACAATTTAAAACAATGAGGACTTCTTAATAAATACCTGAGTTATAATTGCATCTAGTCCATTAGCGCCCCAGGCATAATCCATAGGATTTGAGTGAAGAACACCCCTTAAAAAGAACAGTCAAACATTAGAGCAGTTAGGAGACACCTAGTGCATTTTGTGGAGAACTCATTTTTATTGTTAAATATAGATCCGTGTCTGATACTCACCAGGGTCCAACACCAATATTTGGCATTGCAGTGGGTGCAATTATTCCATTCACCAGTTGCTGAATGATTCTATAATAGAAAAGATAGCAGTATTATAAATTAGAACAAGTGATCCACTATTAAGGAACCTCTTAGTCCCACTCATGCTTGCGTTCTGACTCAAGTCCCAGTCTGTACTCTTACCCCTCTAAAGTGGGAACTCCCTCTGGCCTCCCTGCTTGTCGCCTTGAGCCATGACGACTTCTCGGTTGCCTAGCACCATATCGTTGCCGCGATGTCGTTTCCCTTTCTCGCCTGTTTTCTGCGTCCCTGTTGTCCTCTGTTCCCAGGCCAGCTCCAAAGTCGAAGCGATCGTCGAAGACACCCAGGGCAAACTGGCCGTAGCCCGAAGGGAATGTAAACATGTGCTGGTCCGGATTCTGGGAGAAAAACAGGAAAACCGGATTGCTGTAATCTTGATGGTAGAAAAATGTGTAGCTTTGCAAGTCCTCTACATACCTGCAGCTATTTATTGTACCAACAAACACCTGAAGCACTAGAGTTTTGTTGACAGTGAGGTCAAGTTTCAAACCAATGGAAATGCATGCCGGCAAAGAGAACCCCCCTTTAACTTTAGTAACATCATCATCACATCCTCAGTAACATTTAAAGGTTACCCTATAGCAATAACATAACCTACATATCAGGCCATCACTGTTACCTGTCTTTGGGCACAGTTATAACAGCCCAATCAATCCGATATAACATTACAGAGACAGAATTTGTTCTGTTAGAAAAGCAGAAGTGGAAACTATGACAAGACTTCCATCCTGTGCAGTTCTAGATTAGCAAAACATGCAGATGGAAACCATTTCAGCACATTCTGACACATTATGAAACCTTGTAGTGAAAAAAGGGGTTAGATACCTCAAATGGTTGCTGGTTCTGGGGGGCACTGGAAATGGTAGACGTGGAGCCATTGTCAGCACTAAACAGGGGACAAGTGGTTACCAAGGGATGCTTGACATTTTATCATAGTTTACATAATTTGCTATTATGAAATCAAGCTTTTCTATGACTTATTTATTCCCCAATTGTTACTTGATCTAATATATGCAAGTGTTCAAATGTAAAAGGTTTAAGGGGTTCTTATACTATATATCAGCTTAGGCATGTTCATAATCGGCTTTATTTGCCAATTATGTGAACCCTACTATACAGTATAAACAGTTATTAATTGTATGAAAATAAGGACATTTAGAGAATAAATAATTTCCTTTACAAAGAACATCTATGAAGTTACATTACACATAGGGAATGATTGAATACTTTTCATAACTTTCTTAGAGGTACAGTGTAATAGTCACAAAAAAGGGCCTTGTTTAGGAAAACTGGGCTCAATATAAAATGCATACACACCTTCTCTCCTCCAGCAGTTCCTCAATAAACCCTGAATCACATCTTGGACATGTGTACTCCTGTAAACAAACAAAAGGTTGTAAAAGCCAGCATGCCTTGTTAATTTAGCACTACCATCTCAACAAACAAAAGCAGTGTGAAATGTTTGAAGGTCTGACAAAAGACTGTTGGGCTGTTTTGTGTGTCACTATTTGATAAGGACACTGTAATCAGTAAGCCAACACAAAGGTCAGCAGGTCACCAACTGGATTTTATTTTTATCCATTTAGGACATCCACCGGCAGAGATGTAAATCAGGTAGTGGATTGCATACACCCAACCACCAGAATGAGCTACGACTTCTCTCCCAGGCTCAAAACACACCACATCATCCTTGTTATTGTGCTTTTTCTTAGTATATATAGATGTTTTGTCCTTATGTTTGTTTTATGATGGCCATGTGTCAATCAGATGCATATGAGATGGCTGAAATTACAAAATAAAATTAACCTAAACTCAAAATAACTAAAATAAGTGGCTATTAATAACAACAACACAGCAGTTGGGGTGTTAATGTGGCCACAGGCCCAACCAGCATCCTACAGAAACCTATGGCTGAGCTTTGTATTGTGAAGAGCACATTTACAGCTCTGTGACAGATCATTCTAGCCCCTGACAGGCATGCCACTTGTGTGCTTTTATTGAATAGCAAAACAAGAAAAGGATGCAGTGGCATTGTTGCTGTTGGAGTGATTAATAACCAAGCAAACATAGTAAGGACAGCTTCTCACAAATGAAACGAATACCTGAATTCGATCATTTGAGGCGATCAGTGTTAAAGAGTAGACCGTTTTTGTTAGTGAATATAGCTAACAGTTAGGCTAACATACCCCATAAAACGCAGAGTAATCAACGAATTATCCAGCCAAACGATGTTATAAATGACACATGACAAAGCAGCAGTGGCTGTTGGGTAATGACTATGTAGTATAAGTTTGTATGCTGGTGGATCTACTACTTAGATAACAAGCTAACTAACGCTGTATTAGCGTTAGCAAGATAAACGGGACCCTCGTAGTAGCCAGCTAACACTGTTAGCATGCTAACTGTTGGGGCCGTTGCTAAAACGCTTTCCACTAAAGTAACGACAACACCACTGTGGTTTTCATTTGTACAACTGAATCCATGTTTACTTTATGTACACGGTACTTACGGGAAGCCGAGGACTAATCTCTGCGGAGCATCTGTGACAGAAGAACCGGCTGGGCCATGGAGGAGCTTCAGCCATTTTTAACAACTAAACAGGTAGAGGGGTGGAGGAAGGACTACGGAGCACCGGAGAGGTCAATGTTGACGGACCGAGAAAATACAACAAACTTACTAATAATAATAATAATAGGCCTACAATATAAATGTGTTATATATGAAAGATGAAAATGTAGAAAAAACAAGCAAAATCAACATTACTGGATGGATATACGTTATATATTCTATCCTATAATTACAGATTAGGATTGTGAATTTGAAAAATTGACTATATTGAAGTAATTTGGCTTTTTATTTTACAAAAGGTGTAAACATAAGAAATTAAAACCAGGCTTATTTTACTGTTGAATTATCTATGTATTTGCATTTCCAAAAGACTAACCATTATGTGTGATAAAGAATATGGCCACATGGTGGTGCTTTTGTGTACCAATTGATGAAGAGTTTTACTGTACTTCACATTGTAGCCAGGGACTGAGGACACAATACATTCTTGCTATATTGACTTAGAAATTATGAAATATTAATTCAGGTTATAATATCTTCGGGTTAACCAGGTTTAGTTGTCCTTAATTCATACTCACATACCAATGACAAAGTCTGTATTATGTATCACCACAATGTGTCTCCATTGAACTCCTGTAATATTCCTGATCAGGGCCTTCTTCTGTCCCTATTCACATATAAGCCAGAGATGTGTTTTTGCAATCTTGCACTGCACTGGATCTATTTTGACACATTTTACTTTTCCATTGAATTCCTGTCAACCACCTCTTGAGCCTAACTGTCATACTTAAAGTGTTGAAAAGTAGCATCTGTTTGTTTGAGAAACGCATCTCGTCGAAGGTGGATTTGTGTGTTTCCTTGATTATTTGACAGTTGTTGTTGGAACAATTTTATCAAGTGTCAAATCAGACAAATAAATCAGTTAACAAATAGCCCTTCACATGGGAAAGACATTCTCTCGTCTTGTGTGGACACAGCCAAGTTCTTGTTGGCGGATATCTGTCGGCCCTTTGATAGCAGTGAAGTTCTTGCTTAGTTGCATAAAAACTGGAGAAGAAAATGATTGATTTTGTTTTGTTTTTGGGTCAGTTTTTATTTTCGAGGCTGTAAATTAAAAATGTCCTCAATATTTTTGTTTCACAGGTATCCATAATGTGATTACCATATAACTGCAGTGTGACGGCTGTAAAAAATGTCTGCACTATCTCTGGTGCTTGGCGTCACATGTTGAGAGTAAGTAGGAGTTCCCATCTGACCTCTTATCAGCCAATCACATCCCTCAAACCATCTGGCCTGATTTTTATTTTAAAATGTTCATTTTTTTTTCTAGATGAGAGTAACCCTGGATGCAATTAGTTTCTATTGTATTCATAATATTACAGAAAATCATTTTTGTCAAAAGTTCTAATACTGCAAGATGTTAAGTGGCCCAATGGTTTAATTTCCCAACATGGCAGGCTTAACAAAAATATGATTAGTTATATTAGGCATGGATGTTTTCTCAAAGCTCACAATGTAACCTAACTCGTCTCTGGGCCGGCATTATGTCTGAACTGGCCATGTGGGAGCGAGAAAGACACGACTGTCCCATGGGCTGAGATTAGAGAGGGTCTGATAGCATTGAGGTTTGCTATGTCTGCCTGGCTGAGGTAAGCTTTTGTCTCTCCGCGCCCAGTGCGTCACCGCCAGCCCAGTCAAATGCTCATTGTAACAATTCAATCTGTGGAGTGGGTGACTTTGGGTCAGGGACAGGTCGTGAGAGCAGGAGAAAACAACTTTACCAGACAGAGCAATGATCACGTAGTACTTGAGTTGTGGTATTTGAAGAAATATTAATACATTCGATTTTTTCATGCTGCTATTTGCATAAATGCTGTAAAACTCTGCAAGGGATTTGAATTATTCCTGCTTATGTGATGAACCCACTTTTAGATTGCACATGTATCGATGTAAAATCACATGCTGTAATACATCCACGTACAGTTTGTTGTTGTGTTCTCTAAGGTTTATGTATTACACTCAATTACACTATGAGGCAATTAAGTGCTGCAGCCATGGCGGCAGACAGATATGCTGTAAGGGACACTGCTGCTTTTGTCACTCCATAGAGTTTTTCCAGACACTCCAGCCGGGATTGCCCCACATAGTCCCTCTGGGCCCCTCTAATCAGACTCGGGTACAAACATAAACACACACAGACACACACGCTCACACACTCAGCAACAACAGCCGCCTGCTGGAACTTCCTGGGCCTCTTAGTCATGCGTCACTTGTTTTCAGTCCAACCCATCGAAGACTCTTTCTCCCTCCAGACGCACTCTGTCTGAGGCCATGTGTCACAAGAGCTGTGCATCAGACACACAGCTGTGCATCAGACACACACACACACACACACACACACACACACACACACACACACACACACACACACACACACACACACACACACACACACACACTTACTAAACATGCATACTCACATGTTTAAATCCCAGCAGATATCCCACAGTGTTTTCCTGCTCTGCCTGTGATCCAAAACATAATCCCGTGGTACTTCATCGGCACATCAGTGTTTTTGATTACATCACTGGGCAGCTAACAAAATATAGATGTTGCTCAAGGAACATATGTGTACAGTTAGCAAGTTAAGTTCAAAGCTTTATTTTAGCAGAGTGCTTGTGGTCAGATGCTTCAGATGCTTCAGTAAAGTTCGACTTTATCTACTTTCTATTTTTTTTATAGCCTTCTCTTTTAGTTTCTTTTCACACTTTAAGGTGCAAACTAGCAGTATGGTCATTCCCATCCAATTCAGCTTTACTCAATACATTTGTATCAATTAACACATTTTAGCATTCTCATGCGATGAACAAAGATATTGAACATGGGAAAGATTATACTTGATAAACATTTGCGTTAAGCTGAAATGACTGCTATGACTAGCCTCACAGACGTGCTAGCATAGCTGTGGACTTTTATTCTTTATTCTCTTTATTCATATAAATGTCTTATAGCTTTTGGGGGTTATCCTTTCCTATAGTGTGTTATGTAAGTTTTTGTGCATGTAAAGTATCTTCAAAGGCTAAAATCCCTGTCCTCCAGAGGGAGTTTCTCTCCCACACCTGAAATGCCTCAATTGGACTCCTTTGTTTACTTCCGTAACATAGTGACATCACATTGTAACCGAGTGCTCTGACACATGATAGGCCAGGACATCTCTAAGCGGTTGACCAATCACAACAGAGCTGGCCAGCTAACCAATCAGAGCAGACTGGGCTCTGGTTTTAGGCAGAGGGTGGAAAGAGGTGCTGCAGCACAGGCAGTATGCGAATAAAATACTTTT